AAGGCAGGTCTTTCGGTGTTGGGGAGCCGGGGGCTGGCACATCTCAGAGCAATTGCATCTACGAGCCGGCATGCTTTTTTTGCGATGCCACGGGTCTTGTTTGACCAGCTGCCAAGCCGATTGGCAACAGTTGCCCTCGCGACATCAAAAAATAGAACTTCACCGTTGCCGTTGGCAGGTGCTTGGCGGCCCGAGGGCGGACTGTTGAAACTGGAGCCAGCGGGTGGGCCGCACATGGTTGAGGGGCTGTCCATCGCAAGGGATGACGATTGCAGGGCAGTTGAGCGGGACGAGGAAGACCATCAGCAACATGCAGACGCCTTGCTGGCCAACATGTGCGTATTCCGAGTGGTGCACGGAAACCCAAGTCGATTGAAGAGGCCTCTTGACAAGGAGGATGATCTGAGCGGAAATGATATTGCCATCCGCTTGTATGATGTGGTGGAGTGGGAGAACTGCGAGGAAATCAGGATTCGTGTGCGCCGCTCCCGCGGCACTGACATCATCCGGCTCGACGCCGATTCTAAGGCAGCTGTCGTGGAGTGCAGTTGCAAGTTGCTGGAGCCTTTGGTCCATGCCGGGGCATTTCCTGGCAGACAGACCAGCTTTCATGACATGGCAAATGCCGAACTGGAGCACGACATGTCGCAGTTGCAGCAGGAGGGGGTTACATTGTTATCACTGAAAGGGAGGGGTGGGATGTAGGGGCTACGGGAAGGGTAGCTCAACCTGACGTCAACCGGTCCCACGGGTGAAATATGCAGACCATGGGACCCCCTGAGATGCTGAGGGTTGGCCCCTGAATGTGCTGTCTTGTGTAAGCATGGCCGGCACGGCGGGCACCGTTGCCTAATAGACATGCATCTACATGTGGGGTCTCAATAATTTCGTTTGTATTTTCATTTGATGGGGCCTGGGCGGCCTGGGTCTGGGTTTGCATTCAACAATAATTTATGCTTAGAAACCTAGAAAATGCAAAGGGTTTCTGAATCAGACAGCCCCATGCACCACACTCTTCAATTTGCAGAATGAAGGCAATGTGTTGTGACTGCCAGCGCTTCCACCCTGTGTAGGCCGGTCTGGCTTCAATGACTGCTCCCGGGCAGTGGCAAATGACCGAACACGCAGCGCAGCGGCATCTCCAACAATCCATGTGGCTCCGTGTGCCAAGCAGGCTTTTCGCTGGACGTGCTGGCGTGCCATTGGAGGATCTCACGCAGCTTGAGCTCGAATTTGCCATGACAGAGAATGAGTGGGAGCTCAAGCCGTTGCAGTCTTCATCAGATTTGGCGCGAATCCCACACAAGCGCGGCGGGAGGAAATTATGGTTCCAAGGCGCAAATGGAGCATTCTTTTCCGCATATTTGATTTGCCTGTTGTCAGCAGAAAAACTTTTCGATGCCGGGATTACAGCAGTGAATCATGGGCAAGTTGCCGCATATTATCTGGCTTTGTTGGCATTGCAAGCGCGCGCCGAGAAGTCATCTCATCCAGTGGCTATTGAGGTCCTGCCATTCAAGCCGGCTGTGTATTACAGGGCATTGATTTCGGGACGTGACCCCACCTCCACACACGCGGGCCTGGCTTTGTGTGATGACGACGGTGTGGACGCCAACATGAATGAGGCGGTTGCCACCCGGGCAAGTTTGACTGATGGCCCAGACAAGTGTCATCAGGTCGCTGTGCTAGCTGAGCTGCCTGGAGAGCCTGACAGCAATTCGATGCCATCCAGGCCAGCTTCGGGGAGGCCAAGGGCAGAGCCTCAGCCACGTGCCGATCCACCAAATCGCTTGGGCAAAGAAGCCAAGAGGCGACAAGGGCACGAAAAATCTGTCCAGTTTGGGCGGTTTTACATCGGCTATCACGAGCCATTGACCGCTAGCAATCCATTTTGGAGAGCGCTGTGCCCATATCATTTCGACTGCACCAAATCGATGCAGACCAATCAGGAGGCGTCAGAGGATGATGTGCTCCTAAGAATTAGGGCATGGTGCTTGCAAGCTTTTGAACCCAGTGTGACAGATAGGCGCTCCCACATGTTTCTTTCCCGTGTCCCCTCGCTCATCGAGGCTGGCAACAGCCAGAGTTTGTCGGAGCGACTTGAAGCATCCGAAAAAAAAACAAACGTGTCCACCAGAGGTCCACCATGTCAACCACATGGCAGTTGCAGTTGTGGTTGAACATGTGCAACATGTGGGATTGCTGTTGTTTCGTAGTCCAAACACTTTGTTTTTGTTCTGACCCGTTACCAGTGTCGCCATTGATCATTGGTTTTTGACGTCATGGTCGGATGGTTTGGGCTCACAAGCTCAGATTGTGATCGGAACAGAGAGCATGATTTATTCCAATTTGTTATGTGTTTGGCATTGGTGGCATCGCACTAGCAGCTAGTTGATCCATGGCGCCGGCCCATGGAGATGCTGGATCATCGGGCAGCGAGGACTCTATCAGAACTGATACATCTTCCAGCTCCAGTGGACTGCACAATGCTCGCGGTGAGGATGCCGCAGCAGGACCGAATGTCTCCAATCCAAACACATGTGGTATTTTCATGTGGGGGTCGTGAGGGAAGAGCAAGGACACATGAATCTGATCTAGGAAGCTAGATGTGTTGCCTTTCGGGTTCACACTTAAAAAAAACTGTGCGTGAGTCCGGGAGTGGCAGGGCGCGTAGTATGGTCGTCATTTTGATGCATACTTTCAGGTGTTTAGTAGCTCCGTGTATGCTCAAAACGTCATATTTGGGCGTAGCTTTGGACGAGGGAAACACACTTCGACCACTTCCGACCGTTTTTTCCCCCCAGATAGCTGAAAGCTATAGGGGTTCTAACTTCTAATAAAGAAGGAAAAGTGATTTGCGAGATTGAGGGCCGGGTGCTAGGGGGCATGCAGTTTGGGGTGCTGGTGGAGGTGCTGCTTTGCGAGCTTGACGGCCGGGTGCCAGCGGGCATGCAGCTTGGGGTGCTAGTAGTGGAGGTGCTGTTTTGCGAGAGTGATGGTCGGGTGCTAGGGGGCATGCAGTTTGGGGTGTTGGTGGAGGTGCTGTTTTGCGAGAGTGATGGCCGGGTGCTAAAGGGCATGCTGCTAGTGGAGGTGCTGTTTTGCGAGAGTGATGGCCGGGTGCCAGGGGGCAGGCAGTTTGGGGTGTTGGTGGAGGTGCTGTTTTGCATGGCCGGGTGCTAGGGGGCATGCAGTTTGGGGTGCTAGTGGAGGTGCTGTTCTGCGACAGTGATGGTGGAGGTGCTGATTGACGGCTGGGTGCCAGGTGTGACGTGCTGGTGAAGGTGATTTGCGAGATTGACGGCCGAGCGCTACGGGGCATGCAGTGGGTGCTGGTGGAGGTGTTGCTTTGCGAGAGTGATGGCCGGGTGCTAGGGGGCATGCAGTTTGGGGTGCTAGTGGAGGTGCTGTTTTGCGAGAGTTGGCCGGGCGCTAAAGGCATTCAGTTTGGGGTGTTGGTGAAGGTGCTGTTTTGCGAGAGTGTTTGCCTGTTTTGCGACAGTGATGACCGGGTGCTAGGGGGCATGCAGTTTCGGGTGTTGGTGGAGGTGCTGTTTTGCGAGGTTGACGGGCGGGTGCCAGATGTAGTTTGGGGTGCTGGTGCTGTTTTGCGAGCTTGACGCAGTTTGGGGTGGTGGTGCAACTGCTGTGTTGGGTTGCCGGGGTTCTAACTTCTAATGAAGAAGTGGGATTGTTTTGCAAGATCGACGGTTGGGAGCTAGGGGGCATGCACTTTGGGGTGCTGGCGCAGGTACAGTTTTGAGGTGCTGTTCGGGCTGGTGACAGTACGTGACGGCAAGGTGCTTGGTGCTCGGGGACCTGTCCAATGCTGGTGTGGGTGCTGCGTTGGGGTGCTGTTGGGGCTGCTGTCTTGAGGTGTTGGTGACGGTGTGGGCGCATATGATGGACTGCAGGGTGCTAGGGCGGGTGCTGTTTCATGATGCCGTTGAACCGGTTCGGACGTTGTTGCTGCTTAGTAGTGTAGTGTAACAGTCGTTTGTCATGGTGCGTGGTTCGTGGCTGGTGTGTCATCATGATGTTGTCACCCGCGTCATGATGCTGCTGTCACTGCGATGCTGCGATGCTGCGTTATGGTTCGTGGGTGTGGTGGCGCCATGATTGCTGCCAACATCAGGATGATGCTGAATTTCACTACGCTGTCGCGAGAAGATTCGTGGCTGTGGTATCATCATGCTGCCTTTTCAATTTTACCATTACCATGATGCTGTTCGCATCACCATGATGCTGTCCGCATCATGGTGGTGCTGTCCGCATGATCGTGATGCTGTCCGCATCATCATGATGCTGTCGAACTCATCAGGACGTCGTCTCTGCCTTTTTTCTGCTAGATATGTGGCGCGGAATCGTTTGTTGCTGGTGCATCAGCATGATGCTGTCAACATCATCATTTTTGCTGCTGAACTCATTAGGACGCTGTCTTCGTGTCTATTTAGCGCACATGCTGAGTGGCTGTGCATGATGCTGTCAACATCATCATGATGCCTCGGGAACCATTATGATGCTGCATAATGGTTCGTAGCCGTGATGCGCTATCTGGGGTCTACGCTGGTGTATTTTTCCGTTTTTTTTCCTTCTCCGACCACTTCCGACCACTTCCGACCACTCCCCCGACCACTCCCCCGACCACTCCCGGACACATACAAGGGTTCAACTCCACCCTGCGCCACCCTCTTCAGAGTTGCTACACATTTTTTTGCCAGGCTGAATATTAATATATATATGTATGTTTTGGTGTACTCATTCAGTCTCATAATATGAAACTACTTTGCTTGCCCTTCTCACTTGTGTTGGGTGTATTCATTCAGTCTCATAATATGAAACTACTTTGCTTACCCTTCTCACACTTGTGTTGAACTTGGGCCATCCCATTTGTTCTACACACATCCACGGATTGTTGAACAGTTCACATGTTGTATCGTGGATCAAGCATGCCCACACGCATTGTCCCTGGTGCCGGAAAGCCTTCGTCGGTGTTCGCCATGCCAGTGGTGACGGGGGCGACTTTGAGGGAGACAAGAATGCTGGCACTGGAACTGGCGAAGAAGGTGGCAGCCATGGAAGCTGCTCTTGAGGAGAAGGAGAAGGAGCAGGATAACAAAAGAAAGGCTGCCTATGAGAGGTTCAAGGCCAAGCAAGCTGCTCAGGCAGCGAAACGGTGCAAAGAGATGGAGCCGGCCTGCAAAGCCAAAGGTGTGGTGGTCCCACCCCGGAACATGCAGAAGACGACCATGGAGAAGACAGGCCAGGAAGCATGGCGGGTGATGGAGGTTCGCAGAGGCGAGGATGCCAAGGCTCGCAAGGCTGCGAAGGAGAAGGCCATGCAGGAGGAGGCCAAGCGGGATGTGGAGGCGCGCAGGGCCGAGGCACGGCGAGCTATGGAGGCACACGTGGCCACAAAGGAGGCGGCAAGGGCTGCGGATGCCCGGCGGCATCTATGGAGGCCAAGAGGGCCATGCAAGCCAGGCGGGCTGTGGAGGTGCACTGGGCCATGGAGTGCAAGAAGGCGGAGGAGGCCCGGCGGGCCGTGGAGGCGCACTGGGCCATGGAGGCCAAGAAGGCGGAGGAGGCCCGGCGGGCCATGGAGGCGCAGGCCATGGAGGCCAAGAAGGCGGAGGAGGCCCGGCGGGCAATGGAGGCGCAGGCCATGGAGGCCAGAAGGGCGGAGGAGGCTCGGCGGGTCATGGACGCAGGCCATGGAGGCGAAGAAGGCGGAGGAGGCCCGGCGGGCCATGGAGGCGCAGGCCATGGAGGCCAAGAAGGCGGAGGAGGCTCGGCGGGTCATGGACGCAGGCCATGGAGGCGAAGAAGGCGGAGGAGGCCCGGCGGGCCATGGAGGCGCAGGCCATGGAGGCCAAGAAGGCGGAGGAGGCCCGGCGGGCCATGGAGGCGCAGGCCATGGAGGCCAAGAAGGCGGAGCAGGCCCGGCGCGCCATGGAGGCGCAGGCCGTGGAGGCCAAGAAGGCCAAGGCGGAGCAGGCCCGGTGGGCTATGGAGGCGGATGTGGCCATGGAAGCCAAGAGGGCCAACGATGTGTCCCTGGAGGAGGTTGAGGTTGAAAGCATCAACTCGGATGGCACCGACTTCTCGCAGAACCTTGAGAACTCGTACGTGGAGGTGGAGGTGGATGCTGAGCTGGACTGGAACGGGGACATCCACATGAGCAACCGCGACGCGCTCACCATGAAGGTGATTGAGGTGCTCTCCATGGACACGGTCAGCATCATGGATGCCTTCCCAGGCATGTCTGAGCGGGACTTTGATCTCTGGCGGCATTGCCGCTTCCAGGGTGCGTGAGCTGGGTCCCATACAACAGACTGAGCCTCACAAACGGATTCAAGCCATTGCCAAGATGGAATATTAGTTTTTGAGGATGATATTTTTTCGGACCCAGCCAAGCCAAGCCAGGCGATGATCGTGTGGCTGCGTTTTTTCCACATTATAGGACTTTAGGAGTTCCCCGGCGGTTCAGCTCAGGATTTTCGCACGCTTCTTACTCTAGACATATCGCAATGCGACTAGAGCTTATTTGAAGCGGCTAGAGCACTTGTTTGCGGCTTGCGACTTGGGAGGCCTTCCCATGCTTGCGTGAGCTGGGTCAACCCATTGCGAAGATGAGAGATTAAATCAGAGATTAGTTGTGAGAATGATAGTTTTGCGGACCCAGCCAAGCCAGGTGCTGATCATGTGTTGCATTTCTCAATTTTAGGAGCTTTCGCTGGTGGTTCAGTTCAGGAATTGCGGCACGCTTCTCACTTCGAACACGATGTGTGTGGCTTGCGCTTGAAAACTCTTGGGCGTGACACACGGGGCTGGTTCCGGGAAGCTCCGTTGTCGTTACATGTCATCACTCCCTGCGCAGGACCAGTGGAGCTATCATTCTGCTCAGACGACGAGGCCTTTGCGGACAGCGTGGCGAATCCGGCCGCAGCAGCTGAGTTTCAGAAGCTGCCCAACAAGCGGCGCAAGGTGAAGGACGGTGATGCATTTACAGGAATTGGCGTCAACAGCATGGCCGAGGCCTTTCAATGGCACCTCCACCTCGTGCGCACATGCGCTTCAGAGTATGGGGACGCCTGTGTGGACCGTCTTGCTTGCAATTTGTCCAATGCAACCTGGTTTTCCCAGTACAGTCCCTTGGCCTGCATTTCTATGTTTCTGCATAGCCACGTTTCCATACTTTGTTCTCCCGCCGTATTTGGGTAATAGTTCACGTGTGGTCATCTTTGCTGGAAGTCCATGTTTGCGTTTCCAGCCTTGCGACGCCATCAGGTGGCATGGGCGGGATGGAGATCGTTAAGCTTCACCTGGAGAAGTCCATTGAGTACTGGGCCAGGGAGAAGAACAAGAAGTTGCTTGTTGATGGCATGCCCTTTATTTCTGGCACTTCATTCCACGCGGTGGACTTGGACCCTGTTTGCCAGGAGACCATCACGTCGCAGCCATTCCCGCCGCTGCATGTCTTTTCAGACATGGTCCTGCTGCTTGTTCCATCGGCCCGAGTTGCAGTATTGAAAACAATGGAGCAACATCGGGATGCAATTCAAGCTGACCTGGCCACATGTTCATCTCGGACCGCCGCACAAGACGATAAGGACGGCGCAAAGGCGGCCATTCGTGAGAAAGGTGAACACGTGCTTGAATCATTGCTGCAGGCGATGGACCCGTTCGACCCGTTGTTTGTGGAGGTCGCAGACTGTACCAAACATGACGGAGCCAAGTGTGATGTTCTGCCAGCGCAAGCCGACCTTGACGCGGCCCTGAGCTTCATGATGGCAGGCACTAGCTGTGTTGACTGGAGCAGCATGGGCGGATCTCTGACCCTCGCGGGGTGGACAGTTTTGCCATTCGCAATCCAGTTGAAGTTGGTGCAGCGGATTCGCCCGACGGTGTTCTTCCACGAGAATACACGCAACTTCAAGCCCGAGTTGCTTGCTCGGCACCTTCCGGGATATAACATCCACCATGGTATTCAAAACCCTCAGATGAGGGGCTTTCCCGTGCGACGGGCTCGCATATATACAGCTGTTGTTCGTTCGGACTTTGAGCTGGATGTGCCACTTGAGGAGATTGCCAAATTGAATCGTCATCCCAACTTTGACGGTGGCTCACTATTTTGTGCTCCTGATGATCTTGTTACTTGGATGAATCCAGTGCAAAATTCATTGCTTCACAGCTGTGCTTGAGTGTTCACACACACACACACAAACGCCGCCCTTTGCTACCATCGCTAAGGTCCAAGCCGAGTTGGCCAGACTTTGCGCCAAGCAGAAGCAGTCGAAGGGCAGCTTCTACGACGCTTTGCCACCCTCGTGCAAGGCAGCTTGGGCCGCTTGCTGTTGCTAGCCTTGCTGGTGTTGCGTGTGTTCATTCTTCAGCCACTTCCAGAGGTGACAGTTTCGACCCGTGTGTGTGCGCCCTCCTGACAGGTGAGGCGTGATTTATATGCTGACAATGCGGAGGTGAAGACGCTTCTTGAAAAGGGAGACGCGCTGGTAAATCTCACACAGAACGTTTTTTTTTGCGAATTACAGCAGCAACTTTTGCCCTTGCTTGCTTACAAAGTCGTTTGTGTGGTCACTGCGACAGGGCAGGCAGTTGCTGTGGCAGGAACTATTTAACGCGCAAGGTGTTCCAATGTTCCCTGACAGCATTCAGGCTGCTCAGCTAGGAGTCCCAGTCCTTCCGGCGAGGATTCGATGGCGAGGATTCGTTTTTTTCAGCGCTGATTCGAGTTGACGAGGATTCGTCTAAAAAACGCTTGACGAGGATTCGGGTTGACGTGGATCCGTGTCAACCGACGGGTGTCAGCTGCGCATGTTTGTAGTATATTCGTTGAATTGTCGCATGGCTTGTCCTGCCACTTCCATATCGGGCACATCTTGTGTTAGCACAGTTGATTAGGATGCCTCGGGCTCCTCCAACAGAACATTTTGTTGCATGGTATGTCTTGCCATTTCCATATCGGGCACATCTTGTGTTGGCACAATTGAGTAGTATGCTTCGGGCTCCTCCAACAGCACATTTCGTTGCATGGCATGTCTTGCCATTTCCATATCGGGCACATCTTGTGCTGGCGCAATTGAGTAGTATGCTTCGGGCTCCTCTAACAGCATAAGCAAAAAAAGCAGGAAGCCGCAGGCTCCTAAGAACGCGTGCTCGCAAGGCCCATAAGGTATTTGTTTTGGAGTCCCAGGAGATTCGCTGGCCATGAGTCGTCAAGCTGGCTTTCGGTTTAAGCTGTAGCTGTGTCCCCCCACTTAGGGTTTTCCATATAGGGACATGTCAGACCAGCACAACGTCTATGTTCTCCTGTGCGAGCGCGTCGCCCCAGAGGCTTTGGCTCTTGCCATCCAGGGCACCGACCCACTCTTTCCAGTTGGCAAGCCCACTCAGGAAGGCGTGGAGATCCACAAGAGTTTGCTGCAGGGCTTGCTCAGCGTCCAGCGGCGTTGGTATCCAAAGGAGTTGGAGCAGCCCCTTCAAAAGTTCAACCACCTCCACCAGAAGAAGCTTTTCCAAGACAAGGGCCCTCGTGGCCTTAAAGCCCAAGTGCAAAGTCTGCTGGACATGATCAGCTTCGTAAACACGAAGCGCCGTAACGTTAGCACGCAGAAGCGCCAGCTGCCAGCGATCCAGGAGATTTTGGAGACTGCCTCTGGAAGCCCATACCGAGCGCTGACTTCTACCGAGGAACTCCCAGACAAGGCAGCAAAGCTGCCCCGGAAGTATGAGAAAGAACCCACCGAGGAGAGCTTGCAGGATTTCTGGCAAGAGCTGGCAGAAAGGGAGTCGGTGCACTCGGTGGTGGATTTGTTGACTCAGACCAGTGAGAAGCCGGGGTCTTCTGATGACAAGGCAGGGAAATCCTCGTTGGGCGACAAAGAGGCGGTCATCTACACAGACCACTGCTCGGGCCTGCTGGTGAGATTGCAGGCGAACTCAGTGGAGTCGGCTGAAATGTTCCAGAAACCTGGATCTCCGTGGCTCTGGGGCAGGTTTGGAGATGGGGCAGAGTACCCCTCAGAGGTACCGAAGCAGATCGACAGCCCAAAAAAGCGCCCTGCCGCCGCAACGGAAAAGCCGGCAGCGATGAAAAAGCCGGCCGGAATGAAAAAGCCGGCTGTTGCCGAGGACGCATGCTCGTTTTACATCACTCAGGCGACAGACCAGTCGTACTCGCAGTTCAAGGACCCCGCCACTGGCACAAAGCGTCTCCTGTGCGGAATCAGCAAGGCGCGGCGGGCAAACCACCAGGACCTCATAGCCGTCGTGCGTGCTGAGCTCATGAAGCTGGACTTGCCTAGCATGTCCTTCGAGGAGGTCAAGGACAAAAGCCTGACCATTCGAGAGCTCGCGGTGAACCGCGGGCATGCCCATAGTCCTCAGGACAGACTGAAAAAAACATATGTCCGAACCCAAATTGTGTTTGTTACTCGCTACGACTCGATCCGCTCTCCTGCCAACGCTAGGACGTGGACTAGAGTGACCCGCTCGAGGGCGACTCGAGACAGGAGACCCCCGGTTCGTGTCGAGGGGGTGTCAGGCCAGTGCTATGCCGTGTCTGTTGTCCACATAGGCCTTGATTTTCGTTTTCTTGAGTCAAAACATGTCTACTTCAGGAAGCCCCTGGCTCCTACATTTGTCTGCTTGCAAATCTTGATTCTGTTTGAATTCTCTGCAGGGTAGACCTTTGGACACTTTGAAGTCCAGGAAGCCTTGGGCTCCTACATGCATCTGCTTGCACATCTTCATTGTGTTTGAATTCTTTGCAGGGTAGATCGTTGGACACTTTGAAGTCCAGGAAGCCTTGGGCTCCTACATGCATCTGCTTGCACATCTTCATTGTGTTTGAATTCTTTGCAGGGTAGATCTTTGGACACTTTGAAGTTCAGGAAGCCTTGGGCTCCTAGCATGATCACGTCAACAAGTATTATCAACGTCAATCAAGCTTCGGTGCCGTAGTGCGCGCCAAGGGGGTCTGAGCATGCATGCAGGCAGTCACGTAGAGCTCGAGCTAGGTGTAAGCTAAGGGCTATTAGTATAGCCATGGGTAATGCACCGTCGAGCTCCCGATCGAGCGCGACCAATGAGGGCGTGGAGGTTGCGCTGCGCATACTCGAGGCAGCCCGGCGGGCAGGGCAGCTGAGTCCGCAGCAGCCGCAGCCGGCGCAGCAGCCGCAGACCCCGCAGCCTGTGCCGCAGCCTCCGCCTCAGCCGATGCCGCAGCCTCCGCCTCAGCCGATGCCGCAGGCGGCATACGTGATGCCCCCGCCGCCACCGATATTTCCCTCCTCGTGGCGACCCACCGCCATGCGTATGTGGCCGACAGGGTCCGCTTGGACTAGGGTTTGCTTATGGTGTGGCCAAGAGAGCTACGTCCGACAGGCCTGCTGTTTGAACCCGATGTGCGCTCCTTGGATTGCATACTTTTAGTTAACGCGACCCCCCTAATTGTTTACTCACCACAAACCAAATGTTTGTTCACTTGGCCATATTGGTGTGGCTGACAAAGGAAGCGACCCGCTCCTGTCTTTTCTTCTGTGACATGTGTTAATTCGTTTTGGTCGGAAACATTTTTCTTAGCTTGGGTGAAAACATATTTGGTTCTGGGTCTGTTTGCAAGCACGACCGTTTACAAAGGATGCCATTGGCTCCTATCATGTAACCGGCTTTTGCTTTGCTGTCTAAGGAGCTGAGCATTTACGCACAGCCAGCCGCGGACATTGGTGTCCGCTTGCAAAGCTGGGGTAAGCAAAGCTGGGGCAAGCAGCGGGGCACCAAAGGGCAAAAGCGCCCCATATGGTGGCAAAGCCGGCAGCAAAGCTGGAAGCGAACTCGCACCGACGAGCCCGAGGAGCCCGATGATGCGGCGCAAGTGGTGCAGCCAGCCCCTGCGCCAGCAGTGGTGCCTAAGGCGCCGACAGCGCCGATCGCGCCACCTGTGCCTAAGGGCACGGCAATGCCTAAAGTGCCATCCGCTCCTGTGGATGGGGATGGGGCGATACCTAAGATGCAGGCAGCCGATGATGGGGCGGCGCCTAAGATGCCGGCAATGCCGGCAATGCCTGAGGCATCTCCAGCAGCTCCTGCAGATGGGGCGGCTCCGGTGATTGAGGAGAGCAGTGACCAGGATCCTATGTTAGTTTCACATTATTGGATCAGTCCGGCTTTCATACGTGCATTCGAGATATTAGAAGATTTGCAAGAATGGATGTAATTGTCTGCCATCATTCTTGGCTTTGAAATTTGTTGTTTCCCTGGCAGGAGTCGCATGCTGGTCGATGAGGCCAACTACGCTCCTTCCATTTTGAGCCAAAATGGTTGCGGACTTAAGGCACTGGTAAGGGTGTCTATGTGGCACGCATGCAATGGAGATAAAAAGGTTCTGGGGGAGGGGTTGACATGTCATTGAAAACATTGATTACAATATGAGTGTTTCATGGCACACGATATGTTCACATGTCATGATGTTGTTTCAAAGGAGCTACTAGCTCCTGCAATATCATGTTGGACTTGCATACAAACAATATATTCGTTATACTTGGCCCCCAAAAAAGGAGCTGCCAGCTCCTGCAAAAGAGAGAGAGAGAGAGGGGTAGACCAAAAAAAAGGAAGGCTGTATTGCCAACGAGACATGGCTTGATACATTAAGATACAACACTATTAGACACTTTGGTTCAGGAGACTTATGGCTCCTCTCATGTTTTATTGATGGAGGCAGTTGAAAATAAGTAAGAGAGTCTTCATGAAACCCAACACTTTGGACTTCAAAGGGACATTTCAATCACAAATGGATGTTGGTGGGATATAAACATATTATATATGACTCGCAAAAGATCGACTGGAATACGGATATTGTTCAATGGATGTAGTGCATACAAAAAAGAAATAATATCTCATGGTTCCAACATTGTGTTAGGCAAGATTGGGGTAAACCGATGCCAGGAGACTTCCTGCACAGCAAGGAGATCGCGGGAGAGGAAAAGAAAGCCTATTTGGCTGCCACAGAAAGAGAGTGGGAGGGAACAATTCGTTTTCGATATCGGAAGTATTGTTCGGGATGACACAACCAAACATTGTTATGGCATGAATGTTGTTTTGAGTTGAATCAAAAGGAGCATTATGCTCCTATAATCCTTGATTGATGGCGATGATCAACAGCAAGAGCAGTTTGCTCCTGGGATACTTGATGGGTGTGATTATCAACAGAAGGAGCAGTTTGCTCCTGGGATACTTGATGGCTGTGATTATCAACAGAAGGAGCAGTTTGCTCCTGGGATACTTGATGGCTGTGATTATCAACAGAAGGAACAGTTTGCTACTAGGAGACTTGATGGGTGTGA